GGCACATTGCTGGCTCATGGTCGTCCTGCTGACCCGCAGGTCCTTTTCTGCCTGGCGCCTCCAGCCACTCATCTCCAAGCCTGTAGCACTGCATGGGGTTATTGTGCCCAAAGTGCAGGACCCTGCACTTGGCCTTGTTGAAACTCATACAGTTGGCCTCAGTCCATTGATTCAGCCCATCCAGGTCCCTCTGCAGAGCCTTCCTACCCTCAGGCAGATCAACACTCCCTCCCAGCTTAGTGTCATCTGCATAAAGAAATAATGCGATCTTGCATAAAGAAAACTGTCCAGGCCAGTTTTATCTATCTTGCTTCCACCAGCATGAGATTCAGTTTTTACCTCTACTGGTAGTTGCTTTTTATAATTGTTGTTGTGTCTGGAGACCTCTTAACCTAATTTGGTTTGCCTCGTTGTTTCTTTGGGGGTGTGCTTCTGGAAGACAAACTGTTTTCTGACAGGCTGACTTTGCCTGGGTTGTTGTGTGGCTTGAGTTTATAGAGCCGCTGCTGCTCTCATCAGTTGAGGGGTATACCAAAAGTTTTTTGTTTGAGGTTGGGTAAGGTCTTTTAACTAGGGTACAGTGGGGGATTTGGGATTGGAAAATGGTTCAGTTGGGATAAAGTAAGTTGATACGTCTCTTATAGTGAACTTTCACCTTTCTTTTCAGCTATTTTCTTGGAAAGCCTTCCCTTCATCTTTTATGAAACAGGCTCTTGACACAGCCTTGTTAAGTCCATAGCCTGTATTTGGATAACTCACTTTTATAAAGCTGTGGCAAAAAAAGTACTGGTCCTGTCTGCCAAGGTCTTTTTCTGCTTGATTCAGGAGTTTGGAGGTGGGAAATTCACTGAGGTGGACAATCCTGTATGAGCAGTGAATGATTCACAATTGTACTGGCACTTAAAGATCTGATGTCACCTTACAGTTGTCACCTTGGCAGATCTGAGGATGGGTGTGTCTCTACTGAGAGGGGATAGATTTGGTTACAAGCAGCCCTGGTAAAGGGAAATACTGTTTTTTCTTCTGTTTTCAAAGAGCTGCTCAGTTCCTGCGGAAAATGGCAGATCCTCAGTCCATTCAGGAATCCCAGAACCTCTCCATGTTCCTTGCCAACCACAACAAGATAACACAAGTAAGCTTTAATTGTATTTTTGCAAAGTACCTAATGTTTTGCAAAACTGTTACAATAAAACTCTTCCAGTTTGGTGGTAACTGTTGATCCCTAGGGAGTATAACCAGTTGACTAATACCCTTTTTTTTCTCCCCTAGTCTTTACAGCAGCAGTTGGAGGTGATTGTTGGCTATGAAGAGTTGCTTGCAGATATTGTGAATTTGTGTGTGGACTACTATGAAAACAAAATGTATCTAACGCCCAGTGAGAAACACATGCTTCTGAAAGTAGGCTTCTTTTTGGTACAAAATTTTGAAAGAATGGTTGAGGCAGGCCACAGATGTTTTAATTCCTGTTTAAGTTGTTTGTTTGTTTGTTTGTTATAAAAGGAATGAAATTAACCAAATAACTAAAAGTAATCCTTTTCCTTTTTTTTTCCTTCTCCATTGTCTTTTTATTTTATTATGTGCTAAATCTATTTAGAAAGTTTCTAATCCATTTTTGTTTTCATAAACTGAAGTTGACTCAATTGAATTGCAGCCTTGTTAGGAAACCAGTTCCAAGGAATTGGGTTTCTGTGAGGTATAATGACAATAGAAAGGAACTACTATGTTTTATTTTTAGATATGTGGCATGTTTGTATAAAAAGCTTTTGGGGAAATATAAAAGTGCTTTTGGTGTATCAAAGATTTCAGGTAAGAAGCACCTTAAAATTAGGGTTAGTAAGTAGATGAGTTTAGTTAGCTGGAATATGTATATGTAATAAGAAGGTGCTGGGAAATATGAAATGTGGTTGATATTATCAGTTGCACATCTTGCAGTGAAGAAAAATGTATAGTGTAAGAATTGAAAATTTGCCACGTGACAAATATTTTGAGTCTCTTCAGTGTTTAACTTCAGAAAAGCTCTGTTTATTAGGACCAAACTGAAGTATTTCCATTCTGTCTTCAGGCATGTGCAACATGTCTTTCACATTTAGGCCTTTTGTTCAGTAAACACATGCTTAGAATACAGAATCACAGAATGTTAGGAGTTGGAAGAGATCTCAAAAGATCATCCAGTCCAACCCCCCTGCCAGAGCAGGATCACCTAGACCAGGTCACACAGGAATGTGTCCAGGCGAATTTTTGAATGTGTCCAGAGAAGGAGACTCCACAACCTCTGGGCAGCCTGGTCCAGTGCTCTGTCACCCTCACAGTAAAAAAGTTTTTCCTCATGTTCAGGTTGAACCTCCTATGCTCCAGCTTGCTCCCATTGGCCCTTGTCCTGTCATTTGACATCACAGAGAATAGCCTGACTCCTTCCTCCTGACGCTCACCCTTTACAAATTCATAGACATGAATGAGGTCACTCCTCAGTCTCCTCTTCTCCAAGCTGAAGAGACCCAACTCCCTCAGCTGCTCCTCATAAGGGAGATGCTCCAATCCCTCAGTTATCTTTGTGGCTCTAAATGTATTAAGTTGCTGATGCTCTGTGTCTTCTGAGGGTAACTGATCAGGCTAATGTTAATGTAAAAGCTACTGATATGCATATAATAAAAGAATACTACAGAAATCTATGTATTTGAAAATATATTTTGTGTGAGGGAAAGTGGGTGTTTCGGGACTGTGTTTTAAAGTATTACTTCATTATGTAAAGAATGGCCTTACTGCGGCAGGTTTTTACCTTTGAGGTCCTTTTGTGGAGAGGTTTGGTTTTTTTTTTGTTTTGTTTTTCAGGTTATGGGTTTTGGATTGTACCTCATGGATGGAAGTGTCAGTAACATCTATAAGCTGGATGCAAAGAAAAGAATAAATTTAGCCAAGATAGACAAGTTCTTTAAGGTTGGTTAAGAGAGGTGCTTTTTAATATGTGATTTTAAAGGTAATTCCTCTTGCATTTTTAAAAATAACTAAATAGAATAAAGATCACTTTAGGCTTTCATGTGGGCAAATAACGGTTTCCTTTCATGAAGATTATTGTTTAGTAATTTATTTAATCTGATTTATTCCCTGTGTACAGCAGTTGCAGGTTGTCCCACTGTTTGGTGACATGCAGATTGAACTTGCAAGATACATTAAGACCAGTGCACATTACGAGGAAAATAAATCCAGGTAAGGGGAACAAGGAAACGGAGGGGAGCATCCGGGCTGGGGAAAATCAGACCCTTGGAGTATATATTTGTAATCACCCATTAGTCTGTGGGTCTGTGGTAATTACTTTAATAGGATTTTCACCTTGGTCTACTTTTTGGTGTGGGTATTTTACCATTAATGTACCTCACATAATAAATACAGCTAAAGAAGCAGGTTGTTTAAAGACCTTTCTGTGTTGCTGAGCTCATTCTTGCATCTGTGACATTTCTTATCACCTGGGTTGGAGGAAATTAATTTTATTATCTTACACTAATTATGTTTTTATTTTTTCCTTTAAATATGAAACTTTCTTTAAAAGAAATGAAGGATTTTACTAAGCAAGGTGAGCAGTAGTAGTGCATGGGTAAATAGGCATGTATATATTGTATATGGAGCAGCAACTTAGCTTGTCTCCCCTGCCTTTTTTTTTTTTGGCTAGGTGTGCAGCACAGCAAAATGGCTGGAAAATGCAGCCAGTTTTTACTTAAATGGTTCCGTGATTTATGGTTATTGCTTTTGTTTCAGTAAATGTTTCCGTGTTCCTCCAAGACCTTCCCTCCATGCAGTTACATGAATTTAGAATGTAGTGCTTTGCATTTTAATTCCTGCAGAAAAAACACATAACTTGCATGTAATTGCTAAGAGGAAATCAACAGCACTGGGCCTACTGAGCTACTAAAAATATGAGGCTACTTAACGTGATATTCTTGGTAGCATGTCTTTTGTGTTCCTCTTGATAACATCTTGACAGTATTTAATAATGCTTTTTTTGTAGTTGGGAGCATACTGTAGGCTCTTCATAGTTAAACAAAAGTAATGAGAAACACTGAAGGTAGCTAGACATATCTGACAGCCTATACCTGTAGTTCTGCCCTGCCTTTCAGTACTTTTCAATCCTGTCCCTACATGTATGCTCCTGAAGAGGGATGCCAGTCTGTATTTCCTAGCAGCAGCCTTTAAAACAATTACAGAAAATAAAAGAAAAAAGTGGAATTTTTTAAGACTTTGAAGAAGGGCTGTTTGAACTCAGAAGGGCAATGCATCACTAATGGATTGTGCAGGGTCAGAGGTAGAGGTGTCAGGAGAGGAAAGGCCTCAAATAGAGGGGAAGGAAGGATTTTTAAGAAGTCATGCATTGTGGTTCTTTTTTTTTTTTTTTTTGCAGTATCAGTTGTGCTGTTTATTGCCTAAACTGATTTAGGTGGGTTGTTTTTTTTTTGTCATCTGAAACAGATGGACATGCACGTCTTCCAGCAGCAGTCCCCAGTACAATATATGTGAGCAGATGATCCAAATCAGAGAAGACCATATGCGTTTCATATCAGAACTGGCTCGCTACAGCAACAGTGAGGTGGGTGGGATTAGAGCTGTTAATGCAAATTTCACGTCACTGATTAACAGTTTTTGTTAAATATCTAAAGAGCAGGTAAACCTCAGGCTAGGTAAATAACAAGGCTTGATCACCTGAATCAAGGAAAGCTCACTGCAGGTCTAGTACCCAGTTTATGTGTGATATTGAAACTATTTAAGTTTAAAATAATAATGATACATCATAAAAACTGCAGTATTCTTCTATGCTTATATATATCTCTAATCTATCTAGGATATATATCCTAGAACTGTCTCTTTTTTGAATAGGTTTCCTAGCCCTTACTCCAAATGGGTGCTCATAGCAGTTTAAATGAGACTAAAAGTTAAGACATTAGCTAAAAAGAAAAAGAATGCACATGTATACATACACACATATATGTATAGAACCTTTAACATATATATAATTAGTGTCTAGAATTCATCTGCAGCAATATTTTGGTGATTAGGGATACCAGTGGTTTCTATCACTTGACCAAAATCTGTGAAGTTTAACTATGAAAGTCTCTGGAAGAAATAGCTGATATTAATGCAAGTGTTGGTACATGATGCTGTTTTAATGCTTAAAGGAAAAGTGTGTAGCAATATGTGTGATGCTGGATACAGCGTATTCTGATGTTAGTTTGGGGTTTGTTTGTTGTTTAATAATGTTGTAGGTGGTGACAGGGTCTGGTCGACAGGAAGCTCAAAAAACAGACGCGGAGTATCGGAAGCTCTTTGATCTCTCTCTCCAAGGCCTGCAGCTTCTCTCCCAGTGGAGTGCACATGTCATGGAAGTGGTATGTTATCTGGGCAATAAAAACAGATGAAAAAGAGGTGGCTCAGTGAGCTTGGACAGGCTTTGCTTTAATGGAATGAAAAATGTGTGTTGTGTTTTATTCACTTAATTCCCCTCTTGCTTCTTCCTTCACTCCTTTTCTCCTTCTGCTCTAAGCCACATCCTAAGGCACATGCAGTTCTCAGCGGCTAGGAGTAACATTCCTG